TTAGGGGGGTTTAGGGTTGGGATGTTCCCCCTTATACAAAGAGTCCGTAAGAGGGATAATCGTCGCCCCCCCGATTGTAATCCCTACTTAAGGAGAGTGGGGGGGCTGCTAGTCTAAGGGGGAACATCCCCTAAACCCTAAACCCCCCTAAACCCCTAGACCCACCCTAAACATCCCTAAACCCCCTAACCCCCCCTAAACCCACCCCCCTAAACCCTAAACCCTAAACCCTAAACCCAAAACCCAAAACCCAAAACCCTAAACCCTAAACCCTAAACCCTAAACCCTAACCCGAAAGGCATGGTTCAGTGCGGTAATTTGGCCACCGGCACAGACACCGAAAAATCTTCCGAACCTACACACTAAGCCCGGTCCGAAAGGTGGTCGCTGTCCGAGCCTGTCCAGACCGAATCTCTGGGGCTTTTAGGGTTTAGGGTTTAGGGTTTAGGGTGGTGTGAATTGCAGCCAGGTTTTGCCGACGTAGGGCTCCACTTAGGTTTCGGGTTCAGGGTCCAGGGTTTTGAGGGTCTAGCTTCACTACGCTGTTGGATTGCCGACTTCTGCCCTGCACCCCTTCTGACTTTGCTGTCTTGTCTTTTGCGGGTGGTCTTCTTCTTTCATCTCTTTCTTCCCGCCCTTTTTTGATACTTTTTACCTTCATAGGAGCACGCATGAAGAGAACGATGTGAACGTAACAAGTGCGGGGAAACTACAGTGAATTGTATGAAGCGCGCCATTCCCCGCAGAAGGAGTAAAATAGTACTTGTATGGGCGCACCATTCATCCTTGTTGTTGCACCCTCGATTCGTTCTTTGTTTCGTTATCGCTTAGTGAACTCATGCCTGCGCTCACTGGTTCGCTTCTTTAGAAGTCACTTCCCTCATTCTCTTCACTGAATAGTACTACCGCATGCATGAAATGAACTTATTGCTGGCACACGAGGACACAATAATAAGAGTGTTCGTTTCACTCACAGACTTATTACTAAAAGTAAGAACAAGTGAATCAAGTGAACAAAAAGAAAGAGATTTCTGCTGGACAAAAATCTCATTCTTCCTAAACCCTAAACCCTAAACCCTAAACCCTGAACCTTAAACCCTAAGCCCTAAACCCTAAACCCTAACCCTAAACCCCGACTGCAATCCGAATAGACCAGTACAGCTTCGGCCTTCGAAGTCGTCCTCGTCGTCCTCAAGATCATCCACAGCAGTCTTCTCGTTCTGCTTCATCTGCATCCTGCCACGCGGTTTAGGGTTTAGGGTTTAGGGTTTAGGGTTTAGGGTTTAGGGTTTAGGGTTTAGGGTTTAGGGTTTCGCTTGCTGTCGCCATGTCAAGTGACTGCTGCAGGCACGTTTAGAGAGCTGCGTGTCCTCTACCCCTAAACCCTAAACCCTAAACCCTAAACCCTAAACCCTAAACCCTAAACCCTAAACCCTAAACCCTAAACCCTAAACCCCATCAATGTCGTTTAAGCTTGCAGAGGCTTCTTCAACTCGATCAAGACCGACTTCTATGATTAGAAGGGGCAGCCGTCTCCGGTCACAAACGAAACGGTGAGCAGAGCGAGTATGACTCATCAGTCAGTGTTTTTTTGAAGCACAGATATTGTGAGTTTGTTCCTTCATATCATGAAGCTTCGTCCGATCTTTGGGCTTGCAGCATTTCCGCCAGCATGCAGCTCCAAAACGAAGAGTGGACGACGAACCATGCGGTGATCTGGAAAGTTAATCGCAAAGTAATCTTGGAACTGCCATGTGCTCATGTGCTCCCGTTGACGTGGCATGACCTTTAGCGACATGAAACCCGCCAGCTGAAGATGAAGTGCATGTTACTCGTGGCTGCAGCCACAGCTGGCCTCGACAAATTCTTAAGGCACCAACCACACGTGCCGAACTCCTGCGACCAGGCAGACAAACCCGACAGCATGACGCCGTCACAATGGCCAGCATGTGCTCGGCGTTGTTGGGCGCCCCTGTGATGACGCCTGCAAACCCTAAACCCTAAACCCTAAACCCTAAACCCTAAACCCTGCCATGTTCAAGAGGAGTCGAGAGCCCTGGGTTCCCTCCCCACCCCTTGTCTAAGAGCTTCCCAAGGAATCCTACCGCAAAAACGTCTCAATAAGGTGACCCAACCTTCGGCGCAAGCCCCTCCCCACTGTTACATGATTGTACTATTGTGTTCTGAACTGTTTATATTACTACATACTTCTATATTATACTATTGTGAGGGTTTAGGGTTTCTGGACCATCGGCCAAAGCTCCAAAAGCCAGTCTCGCAGGCCTCCTCCAGTATCACTGCCGCCCTGGTCCATCTCAGCGCCATCATCGCCTGTGGAGGCTATTTCATATGGAGGTTTCGGCCAGTAGGGGGTACCTTATTTGGTTCCATATTATAAGGGAATCCTACTATTTCGGAGTGTATATTTTTGGGGTCCCGTATTTTCGTAAACCCCCGTATGGGGAAACCCGGAATTTTTCTGACAGGAAAACTCACGAAAATATGCGTGACTTGCCATAAGAAACCATGTGATCGGTTCCCTAAAAAAGGTCCCTTTCGTGGCTACCCATGATACTACGGACCCATTCGGCTGGGGTACCAAAAAGGGGTCAAACCCTCAACCCTCAACCCTAAACGCATAAACCGAGTTCAATAAAGGAACCATCCACCCCATAAACCCAATTCGAAAAGGGAACATCATGTAGAATGATGTAGAATGGGCTGAGGCTCCAACTTTCCACATCCTGTTCACCCACATCCAGTTCGGACCTGTGCCTGGCCAACATGTTTTGGGCCAACAAACATTAGGGTTGAGGGTTTTAGTTTAGGGTCCAGGGTTTAGGGTTTAGGGTTCAGGGCTTAGGGTTTGAGGTTTAGGGGTTTAGGGGTTTAGAGGTTTAGGGTTTAAGGTTGAGGGTTGGGGGTTTCGGGTTGGGCCTTCAGGGTCAAGGGGTTGGGGGGTGTAGGGCTTCGGGCCGAATAAGCTCTAAATTCACAAGGTTTAGTCTGAAATGTCCGCTGAACCGCGCGCGCTTGGAAACCTTATGAATAGGAACTGGCCGGGGGCACCGGTTTTAGTGAGATCTAACAGAAGCTAACCTACAAGCTTGCAACACTCGCCAGGGTGGACCCCTTCTGCTTCTGAATGTTCTTGCCACCCTCCTGCGGGATGTAGTACCTGCAAAACGCCCTCTGCTCAAAGGGTCCATGTACCTAAACAGGCTAAACTTGGCCTTTAAGGTAGGTCCTAGGTGGCCTCTAGGGCCCCAAACAACCCACAAAGTGTGTAGCGATTTAGACACAGCGACCCTTCAGGGCTTCCTTGAATGAACCCCGGGGGCGCATGCAACGTGGATTGCGGATCATGTTCCTGAGACGGAGGGGCCATGGAGGGCGAGAAGGCTGTAAGAAGTTGCGACGGCAAATTGAAGCCCAGAACCCTAAGCTCATCCGCATGCCCAGCGGTCACTCCTAACCCTAAACCCTACACACATGCTCTACATCCAAAACCCCAAAACCGTGAACCCCGGTAAGCCCCAACAAATATCTCTTTTCGAGTCCTTTATACCCTGAACGGACTGCAAGCCCGAAACGTCTCGGATCAAGAGAAGGCTCAAAATGGGACTTCGCTGAATCTGCAGATCCCGCTCCTTGCCAGTTGAACCGAGGGCTTGAAAAGGTCTAGGGTTTAGGGTTTAAGGTTTAGGGTTTAGGGAGGGGCTTTGCGGCCCTTAAAGGGTTTAGGGTTTTAGAGGGTTGAAGGGGTAGTCGCCTGTCTTGTGACGCTACGATTTGCTTTGCATGGGCTCTGCTTTTTTAGCCCGAAACGTCAAAGCCCCAAATCCTTCAAGACTGCCCAGACAGTGGACAGACACCTCCCTAACCCTAAACCCTAAACCCTAAACTCTAAACTTTAACCCTAAACTCGCTTAGGCCGCCCCCCTACAGTGGGGCCGGCGCCTAAGCCCCTCGACCTCGACGGCGCAAGTCGACCTTGGTCGTTCGCCCGCCTCCCACAGCTCGGAGGACGGTAGCACCACGTGGGGCCCGGTACCGGAGCCCGTTCTCTTCGAGACCAGTACTGGTCCCTCAATAAAGTAATTGCCCTAAACCCGCCACCCCTGTTCCTGGAGGGCGCTGGCATGCACCTGAACAATGGAATGTGCACTTACAACAATTGGCAATGCAATGTGCACTTGACACAATGCAATGTGCATTTCAGTGCACTTGACACAGTGCAATGTGCACTGACACTTGGCACAATCCAACCTGCACTTGGTATAATGCATTTTTGGGGGGGTACCTTCAGGGCCCTCGGCCAGGGGGGTCCGGAGCCCTCGCCGCAGCGTGCTCACCAGGGGCCTCTGCCCAGCTCAGACGGGCGAGTGCTCAACAACCGCTTGCAAGCTGCCCTGAAACCCCTCTGAAACTCCTGGAATCAACCCCGTGGCCCCCTTCTGGGACCCCCCTATCCTGCTGGCCAAGACCCTCTACGCTCTTGTACACCCCTCAACCCCCCCCCAAACCCGCACGCACCCCGCTGGCACCACTCTCGGACCCGTGGAAACCCTCTTACAACCCCTGACACGAAACGCCCTGAAACGGAATAAGGTTTAGAAGTGGACTGTTGGCTTGAGTTTAGGACAAAACCCCGAAAGGAATGGGTTTGGGTTTGGGTGGCTTTGCCGTCTCGGACGGCCTGGGGAGAAAAGTGTTACATTGCCTTCCACTATCGGGCCAAAGCTGCTCTTCGCGCCTCACGACCCTAAACCCTAAACCCTAAACCCTAAAGCCTAAACCCCAAACCCTAAACCCTAAACCCTGAACTGTGCTGGCAGTCCTTGGCCAGGGCAGACTCGGCCTGCCGGGGGCTAAGTCCTAGCACCCACTGAGCCCTTTGCCCATGAACCCCTAAGGGCCCCCCCCCCCCCCTAAACCCATGAATCCCCAGGGTGTAGGGTTTAGGGTTTAGGGTTTAGGGTTTAGGGCTAGGGTTTAGGGTTTAGGGTTTAGGGTTTAGGGTTTAGGATCCACCCACAATGCCTCTGCTTCGGAAAGCTTCAGGCTCAGGGGGGTATCAGCTACCCTGCATGGAGAGGGCAGTTGAGGGCAACGCCCTACATGAGGGCAGCGAGCCGCATGTGAACGCAGCAGGCTCTGGGGCCATGCGCAAGAGAACATCCAACTTCTTGGCAGTCAGCCCTAAACCCTAAACCCTAAACCCTAAACCCTAAACCCTAAACCCTAAACCCCTGCACTCGGAGCCCCTCTCCCATTCTTGAGCCCTGACTGGCCTCGCCGGCATCCTGGGACGTAACTCGCCTCAGCCAGCTCCAGCTTTGGGGGTTTATAGGGTTTAGGGTTTAGGGGTTAGGGTTTAGGGTTTAGGGTGTTTGGGGCTTAGGGTAAGGTGCTTGGGTCTTAGGGTTATAGGGTTTAGGGTGTTTGGGGCTTAGGGTTTTAGGGTTTAGGTTTTGGGTTTTAGGGTTTTAGGGTTTGGGGTTTTAGCGTTTGGGGCTTAGGGTGTTTAGAGTTTATAGGGTCTAGGGTGTTTAGGGTGTTTAGGGTCGATAGGGTTTAGGGTGTGGGCTTGGTTCAGGCCACACCGTTCTCCTCTAGCTCTTGGTTTAGGACCCTAAACCCTAAACCCTAAACCCAAAACCCAAAACCCTGAACCCTGGGTTTTAGGGGAAAAAAGGGGGGATCTAGTACATCGCTGAGGACTCGCAAGGTTGAGGGCGCCACCAGCACCCCAGCCCAAAGTTTAGGGTTTAGGGTTTAGCGTTTAGGGTTTAGAGTTTAGGGTAGTTTTGCATGCTTCTGGGCATTCCCTGTGCGTTCAAGGTCAAGAAGGTGACCACAACTCATGACCATCCCCCAACCAAGCATCCCCACACCCCGAGACACACAATGTGCTCCTCATCAAGCCCCCCCCCCCCCCCCCCCCCGCCCCGCCCCCCCAAAAAAGAGAAAAAGAAAAAACTGTCAAACAACCCAAGCGTTGAGGCACGCCTCCCTTTTTAACATGGGTTTAGGCCTCTCTCTCGGTAAACAAGCCGCCGCCGTCTTAACCCCCCTGAGCTCGCTGCTTGCCGCCTTGCACTGCGGTGTTCCTGCGCGAGTATTCCAAGAGCTCCTGCGTGTCGTCAGCGGGTGATTCTTGGTTGGGGCTGAACCCTAAAACCCTAAAACCCTAAAACTCTAAAACCCTAAAACCCTAAAACCCTAAATCCCTAAATCCCTAAACCCTAAAACCCCAAACTTTGGAGTTTGGACTTTGCCGGGCGACTCGAGAGTTGTGCATTCGGGATTGTTGTCTCTCGGGCAGAAATTAAAGCCCCTTACGGTATACTGGGTACTCTATGTTGTGTAACTATAGGGTTTCCAAGGGGGCATGTACTATTGGTACTTCTAGTAGATCCCTGAACCCAGAACCGTAAGCCTCTGACGCCTTAAACCCTCAACCCCCTTAAAGCCGCACCCACCCCACCCACCCAAAACCTTGAACCCTGTAAACCTAAACTCTACACCCCGACGCCCCGAAGCCCTAAACCCAGAAACCCAATATCCAAAAAACAAAAGCCCTACAAGGGGGTTGTGGTACCTTATCGGGGTGCTTACTATAAGGGAATCCTACTCTTTGGGGGACTATATTAGGGGTCCTTTATTTTCGTAAACCTCCGATGGGCCCTTAATATGGCCCGTTACCTCCCTTAAAGGGTTCTGAAGTCTGGAAACTTGGGTTTTCCAGGGTTTTCTTGGGAGTCCCCTTTTGAAGGGCACAAGTTAGAACCTTTTCTGGCTGGTTCTTAGTAAGGAATGAGGGAATGAGGAACCCTATTTTATCCTTTAAAGGGTATAGGGCCCTAATGCCCTCATTCCCTACTAAGAACCAGCGGGTGAGGGGAGGGGGGAGGTAACCCTAAACCCTAAACCCTGAACCCTAAACCCTAAAGCCTGAACCCTGTGAAGAACAAGGGGGCCCTAAAGCTCTGACAGGGTCTTAAGAGTCCTGCATTGTGCAGCGGCCGGGCAGCTTTACCTGGCGGGACCGATTCTGGGACCTCCCGGGTGCCCAGAAGCCCTAAACCCTAAACCCTAAACCCTAAACCCTAAACCCTAAACCCTAAACCCTAAACCTTAAACCATAAACCTGAACCCTAAACCCTAAACCCTAAACCCTAAACCCTAAACCCTAAACCCTAAACCCTAAACCTTAAACCTTAAACCCTGAACCCTAAACCCTAAATCCTGTTTTACACCCCTAAAGCCTACACCCTATTGGGGCGTGGGTGGCATGAGGTTTTCAGGCCCCACCTCGATCTTCTTCTTGGTGAAAGGCATCCGCACCCGCTTCGTCCTTGCCAGGTTTAGGGTTTAGGGTTTAGGGTTTAGGGCTTGGGGTTGAGGGTTTAGGGTTTAGGGCAAGCTTTTAGGGCACGGCAAGCTCAAATGAGGGTTTGGGGTTTGGGGTTTGGGGTTTGGGGTTTGGGGTTTGGGGTTCAGGGTTGTGGGGTTTAGGGTTTCGGGTTGTAGGGTTAAGGGGTTAAGGGGTTAAGGGGTTAAGGGGTTAAGGGATTAAGGGATTAAGGGGTTGAGGGGTTAAGGGGTTTGGGGTTTCAGAGTTATGGGCGAGTTCGATCTGGGGTTTGCTGTTTAGGGTTTGAGTTTTGGGGTTCAATTTTTTTTGGAAACTTCGTTGGCTCAAAAGCGCCAAGCCCTAAATATGAAGCCTTAAACCCTCAAAGCTGAACCCCAAACCCTAAAGCCTAAACCCCAAACCCTAAATTTCCGAACCCCAAGCCCTAAAGCCTAAACCCTGCACCTTTTAGACAGCGCATCGGGAGAACAAACACGCCTCGACTCTGGCTGACAAATGAACTAGGGGAAGTTTAGCGGGTGTAGTGTTCAAGGGCTTAGGGGAAGTTCAGGTCTTGCGGGTTTCGGTTTAGGGCCTAACAACTTCAAGGCCCTTAAGCCCTAAACCCTAAAGCATCCAAACCCGGCCTAACCACCGTCTGGTACTTGATGCGCTCGTAGTCGAGGCGCTCCCAGAAGTTCTGTCACAAGCTTTGCAAGGGATTCGGGCCGCGCCAGTTCAGGGGAAGGTTTCAGGCTGTTTAAGGTTAAGGGTTTAGGGTTTAGGGTTTAGGGTTTGGGGTTCGCCAGTGTTCAAGGTTTCCCTGGCGGGTCCACTTACCTTAATCCCTGTTCCCCTAGGAAGAAAAAAGGATCCTTTTTGTTTATATAAGAAAGCCCATAACCCAAAAAGTAAAAAGGATCCCTAACACTGATTTAGTTACAAGGACCCTTACGCTGCGATGCGCCGCAGCCTCGTGATCATGCCCGGCGTTTCGCGTGGGACTGGAGCCCAAAGAGTATCGCAGGAATAAAGGGCACCCTTTTTGGTTACAAGGGGCTTCAACTAAGCCCTGAAAAAAGAGAATAAGGGCCTTGTCTTTTTTTCGTGTGCATGGTGTGTTCTACGTTTTTGGCCAATCGGCGGTCCTTCTAGTCGCCGCGGTTTTTGGTTTGGGAGGGAAGACGAGATTGCAAGACAATGCCGGGGTTGTTCTAAATCAAGTTCCTCTTGTAGAGAGCCTCTAATTAGAATCGAATCGCTTACCAAAAGGTCCCCCAAGTAATGGTGTTCTGACGCAGAACGACCCCTGTAGGATGTAGGCTTTGCTTCTTACGTCACTTAGCTTAGGGCTGAACTCGCAGGCCTTGCCAAGCAGGATCTTCCGGTACATGTCCTTCAGGCTTGAAAGGCTTTTCCGTCATCCCAAGGCCCGAACATACTGAGGGCTTCGGCGTAAGTTGGGGTGCTCCCCCCTGATACTAACAGCCCTTAATGAAATTATAATAGGCGGTACGTGCTATAATCCCTCGTAAGGACTATTAGTATAAGGGAAAAAACATCCCAATGTCTAGGTGTGCAGGCCAGGGCTTGCTCAAAGCCCCTTAAACTCGAAGCGCTACATCCCCATCCCGGTACTCGTCCAAACCCTAGACCCTAAACCCTGAACCCTAAACCCTAAACCCTACACCTTAAACCCTAAACCCTAAACCCTAAACCTTACACCTTAAACCCTAAACCCTAAACCCTGCACAACGACTCCTGGGTGTGATAAGCAGGATAGGCGATGTACCTTGTGCGATGCCAGCCCAGTTCGTTGACGATCGAAAAGGCTTGGTAGCCTCGTAAACATATTACAACAAGGGTTGGCTACTGTATTAGGGAACCTATAACCAAAACAAGGAAAAGGCCACCTGAGCTACGAAGAAAAATCTAGCCCAAATCATTGAACCCTTTAGCCCCTAAGCCCCAACTCCCCGAAACACCACGCTGCCTGACCTCTACGATTCAGGGCTTGCGGGTCGTGTAGCACTTTTTGAATATGGGGGTTCCGAAATTAGGGGTACCTATTGGGGTGCTCATTATGAGGGAATTCTACTATTTGGGTCTGTTTTAGGGTCCCCTATTTTCGTAAACCCCCATATCGGGTTTGAGGACGTTTGGGTTGAGAAGCGTAGGGGCTTGAAGGGGTTTAGACGTTTCTTCCGGGCTTGTGAGAGTTTAGGCTTCGGCTTCGGGGGGTCTAGGGTTGATCGTCTAGGGGGCAATCTCCCGACATCCCAGGGCACGGGAAAAGCTCACACAGCTGAGCAAGACCGTCGAACTGGAGACCTGGCGGCCAAAGGATAGCATGTACACATGTGCCACATTTGCATGGTTGAAAGGCGTACCGAGTACAAGCTGTTTAAGATTGGGGTCGGGGAACTCATGCCGTAGAGTTTGGGTTGCAGGGCCTGCGTGGGGCATGTCTCATCAGAGTGTTTGGGGAGCTTGCTGTTTAGCGCTTGTCGGTGCTTACCTACTGGTTCTTGGTAGGGAATTAGGGTCCCTCTATCCCTTCAAGCGCAAAAGAGGTGCCTAACTCCCACTAAGAACCAGCAAGTTCGGGGTCTAAGGTTTCTAGTTGCACGAGGAGAGGGGTGCCTACAAAAAGGGAGCCGGCCATTAGGGTTCGCTTGGTGGGGCAGAGGATTTTGAGCATCTAAACTGCATCCTCTAACCGTACCCACCCCCCCCCCCCCCCGAAAGAAAAAACCTAATTAGACCCTGAACCATCTTATGGCTTGCAATGTTTAGGGGGTGTGAAAGCACTATAGGTGACGTTGATTGTCCACTACAGCAGAACGAACATGATCGTCATCTCCAGAAGTTTTTGGAGGCATCTCAAGCGCTTTCCGGATCAAGAAGCTACTTCTCTTGTGTAGGACGTAGGATTTAGGGTTACGGAGAAGCTCAAGTGCGGGAAGTTCGCTCCAAATCTGAACACTAAACCCTAAACCCTAAACCCTAAACCCTAAACCCTAAACCCTAAACCCTAAACCCTAAACCCTCCCTAAACCCGAAGTCTCCTCAAACCCTGGAAGTCGCAAGCTCGCCAGTCTGTCTTCGCCACTTCCCGCCACGGAACTTGTCCTTACGACAGGAGGTCGGGATTCTATTCAGCCCTCAGAACGCCTAAACCCTAAACCCTAAACCCTAAACCCTAAGCCCTAAACCCTGAACCCTATAGCCTAAACCCCAACCACTCAACCACGGCTTCAGGTTCTCGGTTCTCGAAGGTCGTGGCCCCCAAGCTCCCCAAAAACCAGGGGAACCCCTTGCAAAGCAACAGCCTTGAACTTGAAGCTCCTTTGAGGCGTTAACCTTGAACTTACAACGGCGCCAACCGTTTCGCACATACGATGGCGTCAAGGCTTAGCTTAGGGTTGAGGAACTAGGCTAGGATGGCCCTTACCACCCTCTGAAAAATATATTCCTGAATAATGCGGTCTTCTTCAGCCCGTTAAGGAAAAATCCAAAATGTCCCAAGGGCCTACCGAGTAGGGCTTCGGGCCAAGGATGTCCGCAAGCCCGAGCCGGCAAGCTCAATGGAAGGTTCCAGTGCTGGGAACATACTTGAAATTCGAGGCGGCTCAGACAGAAATTTTGGGATATTACGAAAATAAGAGGCCTTAGTAGAGGCCCCCAAATAGTAGGATCCACTTATAGTCAGGACCCCTGTAAGGTACCCCTAATATCGTACACCCCAGCAAATCCCCCCAAAACTTGGAAAATGGGACTGCAGCATGCGCCTTGACTCTTATAGATCTTAAGCGACCTCTTGCGGAGTCTTTTCGCCAGCCGAGGGTCCAGTGCGTTCTTGTTGTTCACCGGGAACACAGGCTCGCCACGGCCTTTGTCGTCATGAACACTTCAACTTCAACGTGTGGGGCATGGGAATATCCGGTTTCGGGAAAGGCAAGGTTGACTAGTCTGCTGAGCTTGCTGCCCTCATCAGAGCCGGCTGGAATGTATGAGAAGAAGTTCAAGAGCTCTTCCTTCTCAATGGTACCTTCAAGCGCAGTTCAAAGACGCCATGTAGCAAGACCTCTGGTGCCCCGGGCGACAACTGCTGCTCTCTCTGCAGAAGCTGAGCCAGCTGTTGCGCACCGTTGCGGTCAATGTCGATAATCATGAACAGGAACTGCAGCATCTGCGCCAAGTTCATAGAACGACAACAAATGCTGGCTTGAAGTTATGTGCTCTCTTCTCCTTTCAACGACCGGACATGTCCAAGTACAGATTGTAGTGCAGATTAACAGGAGCTGCAACAGTAATGCTGAACGTTAGCAAGTGGAACAGCGGGTACCCTTGAGAGCTTGGGGCTTGACCGTGAAGTCCCGACTCATGCATCTTGCCACACATGGGCAGACACCCTGGCCTCTTGGGGCAAGCGGCTTGCTGAAAGTTCTGCGTAATTTATGTTGTCATGCTATCAGGTTGAAATGTTCTCATATTATCATGTTATCATATTGTCGTATTCTCATATTGTTACATTAAGATGTTGTGGAATTTTATGCTCGTGTTGCGTTTTGTTGTATTTGTTTCTATCTTAACCGTTTATATAATATTGCATACACCTACTCGTATAACCATAACATCATATCGTATTACTAAGAATACATATCAATATATTCCAAATATTTGAAATATATAAATATATTCGTATATGAATATGCGCATACGTCTTAATGTCTTCATAGATTAAGATATACGCATATACTGATGTCTTGAATACACTAATATGTTCATGTATTCATATGTTTTTGTACTATTGTATGACCACTAGACTTCTACTATATCATATGATATTAGAGTACATCTATTCTTCTTTAATGTCATTCTACTTTTGTAGTATTACAGGTTCCTTGTTGAGAGCTGTGGGCCCCTCAACTGAGGCAGCAGACGGAAGGAGCTTAGCGACAACGCCGATGTCTAAGGATGCAGTCGCCTGAACCTCAAGCCACCGAAGCTGAAATCTTCCCAAACCCTTAAGGGTTTAGGGTTTAGGGTTTAGGGCTTCGGGACCCTAAACCCTAAACCCCAAACCCTAAACCCCGAATACCGAGAAGCTAAGTCCATGGCTCCGAAATAACTCCTGAAACTTCGACCCGACCCTATACCCCGAACCCCTGCGCCGGAACCTCCTCCTTGGAAAGAGCGCAGAAGGAGCACATCGTCACCAGGAAATCCTGGTCAGAAAGTCAAAGTGGCCTGTAACCTCGCAAGTAGCCCAGGGGCCCAGGGGTGATTCTGGGCTTATACAGAAGGGCTGGCAACGCGAGTGATCTCGACCTCAAGCTGTGCGACCCCTTCGCAGACTCCACACCCGCATACGCACGCCTATAACGTGTCTAGGATTGGGATGTTCCCCCTTATACTGACAGTCCTTAAAAGGGATGTTTAGTACCCCCTATTGTAATCCCTACTTTAAGGATAACATTCCAAGTCTAGGGTGTCATAACCAGCTATGAGCTTCGGCAACCTCTCTGGATCCTAAGATGCCGAATCGCGTGACAGATCCGTGCAGGTCGCCCTGGCCTGAAACGTCATGCTGCCCTCGCTGTTGCTATCACCTGCAGATGCAAAGGTCATTCCTCAACGAACCGCAGCACTGAGAATCTTCCGTGGCAAGCAGGCTGCATCGGCTACAAACCCTAGCTTCTTGTCGCTAAAAGTGTAAGGGGGAGCAGACAACATTATTGATACATCGTTGCTTCATGACCCCTCAGCCCAAGACGCAAAGGCACCGCAAGCCCTTCAGATGGAATCATCACTATCATTGTCACTCCCTCGTATCTAGTTCATGGTTGAGATAGTATTGACAAATTGAAATCTTCATTCCTTACTGAGTTTAAGACCCTTAACATGTAAAATGTTACCCAACTATGACAAAGGCATAGAGGCTGTGGGATTTCTGGATGGGCGTGCTGCTGTGAGTCGCTGAGGGCTTGCGGGTGGGTCTATTCACTGCAGCTTTGACGGGGTTAGGGTTGGGAGTTTAAGGTTTAAGGCTTAGGGCTGTGAGTCTCGGGCTTCGTAGCCCTAAACACTTATCAAACCCTCAGCCCAAAAACACCTCAACCCAAAAAAACCTGAGACGAGCGACCCATGAAGAAGATGGTGTCGATTACAGGAGCGCGGACCGACATCCTCGGCTCCTTTCGCAGGCAATGGGCCCATAGTTAGTCCCAATGCAGGGTTTGGGGTTTTGGGTTTGGGGTTTAGGGTTTAGGGTGTAGGGTTTGGGGTTTAGGGATTCAACAAGGTGGCCTTACTTCATTCATTTGAATAGGGTTTTGTGGGGGGGTTCTTGTAGTATACTTATATAGGGGCCATGAGGGAATACTATTAGTAACTATTCCGACCCTTATATCATCGCCCGCGCTTTGCAGCCTCCAATGTAAGGCACGCATCCTGACACAAAAACAGGGCCTCTGCAGGAGTGAGCCTCATCTGAAGAAGCTTAACCCTGACGCCTTGAGCCTGAAACCGGTTTAGGGTTTAGTGTTTAGGGCTTAGGGACCCGAAACCCTAAAACAAACCCCACAACTGCAGCACCCAATCAAGGAGCCTCATGCCTCCCTGAACCCCGAACCTACCATTTGCTTCAGAACCCCCCCATGGAAACTTAGAATAACAATCCCTACATTGCCCTTATAAGGAATAACATATGCATGTTTATGTATATATACATATATATATGTATATATATATATATGAATATTTTTGTTGATTTATATTTTTGGGGGGTGTCTTAAGCAAATAATAGTAAATAAGGCCGACACCAGCCTCACAGCTCGCTGTCAAGTGCCATCTACCCCCAACACTGAACACCAAACCCTAGACCCTGAACCTTAAACCCTTAAGGTTTAGGGTTTAGGGTTTAGGGTCTAAGCCCTAAATCCTGGATTTCTTCACGATTTCGAGGCTTTCGGCTTTGGGACGCTTCAGGTTTGCCGTACTTTCGGACAGGCAGTGCCGTGCTCTGTTTTCTTCAGGGCTTGGCTTAGGGTTTCGCGAAAAGTGACATGGGTGGAGCCATGATGCATTCAAGTCCCTGCTGCTTCCCGGTTCTTGAGCTTTTGAGCAGCAACCGCCATGAACAATCAGGGGTTTAGGGGCTTTGAGTTTAGGGTTTTTGAGCTACTCCGAAGAATCAACCCCAAAACCCTAAACCCTAAACCCTAAACCCTAAACCCTAACCCTAAACCCTAAACCCCAAACACTAAGAAACATATGGCTCCTTGAGAACTCTGTACATCTCGCTGACGGTCCACACGCCATTGGAGTCGACGTCAATCTGATGCAGGCTCGGGTTGACTCGGATTTACCTAGGACCCTCTTTGCCTCGGGTTTAGGGTTTAGGGTTCAGGGTTTAGGGTTTAGGGATTAGGGTTTAAGGCTTAGGGTTTAGGGTAGTAGCTACCCTTCATTAGTTGGTGTAGCCCATAAAACTGCAGGCGAAGAGGGTCCCAGGTAGGGTGCTCCTCAAATAGGTTTGGGGTGTTGTACGGCCTGCGGTATACGATTTAGGGTTTAGGCTCAAACAGGGTCTATAAGGATCCAACGTCCACTGTGCTACATACCTCAATGGAAACCAGCCAGAAGACACAGGACAAAACAAGTTAGCGCTGAAAGTGATCGTTGCGGAAGCAGTGCCCTCGACGCCGAGGCTGAAACTTGAGCAGAGGAGACAGGAGCAGGTTTAGTGTTTGAGGTCTTTGGGGTCTTTGGGGTCTTTGGGGTTTAGGGTTTTAGGGCTTAAGGTTTGGGCGACAAGGGAGAACTGGAGGTTGGATAAAGTTGTGGAGAACACCAAGCCGCCACCAGAAACAGTCCAAGAACTTTCTCCAGCAGAAACCTCGCGCCCTACTTTGGAGTAGACAAAGTAACTACTTTTTAGGGATACATAGCTATAATAGGAACCCTGAACCCCCAAAAAGTATTAAAGTATGGTACTCCAAAACCCAGTACACAAGCCTCGCGGGATGTCGAATATGCCGAACAACCGCTGTACAAACAGGTTTTAGGGTTTAGGGTTTAGGGCTTAGGGCTTAGGATTTAGGATTTAGGGCTTAGGGCGGCATCGATGTGTGGATGATCAGCGACAGAGGATCTGCCTGACCTTCGAGACCCTTGCTCTACGCACACCTTGACAAGATGCTACAGGCCTTCGGATGGGCGTTTACTAGTTCATGGTTGGGATCGTATTAAAAAATTGTATTCATATTCCCTATGGGGTTTAAGTACCCTTAAACATGTAAAATGATACCCAACTATGACCAAGTTTGACAGGCTGCTTAGGGTTCAGGATGTGCGGTTCAGGCAGCATGAGGCTACATGAGATCAACTAGCCGTTGATGCGGCGCTGCTTTTACCTGCCAGAGTCAACGTGGCTGACACGAAGCGTGGGTTTTATGTACGCCCCCGACAGCACCTCCGGCCCCAGCTCCGGCTGTCACTTCGCAACTCGCCGCAGCTCCAAAACCGTGGGAGGTCACTTCTGTTCACTTCCAAAAAATTTCGAAATCCGAGAGCTGTACACATCGTTTCCGAAGCGCGCGCTGCGCTACTCGCCGTAGAACAAGTCAGGGCCTGCTTGCCAGAGAGAGTCGCAGTGAACACACGACATGAGTGGCCCCCCATCACGTGTGGTTGGCATAAACGCTGGGCGCGGTGGTTTCTCCGCGGACAAATGTTTCCAGAGTGACCACGTATAGAGTGGAAGGGGAAATGGAGCCGTCAGAGGGCGCTGGGCCATCCGCAATAGTCATCCAAGAGACCTTGGCGCCACATCGTGAGACAGGCACGACTCTCGCTAGGTGTTCTGCGTGACGCTAGTATAGCAAGATAGTAATGCAAACAAAGTATGAACGCAACATGTGCAAAGATATGGATAATCATGATTATATCTTAACATAATACCATAATCATCTGCACATCTGTGCGGAGTTGGGATTCGGGATACTCGGGCTACGCAACTGGACCAAATCTTGGTGCGAGGCTGACAGCCATGTGGAACTGCTTCAAGAAGCGCTCGTGGCCGACGAAATTTTGTTTCTCTTCGGGTGATAGAGCCTGTCGCAGAATGAGTGTGCGCAAGCACGCAAACACGTGAACCAGGTTCACACCTACAGTATCCTGTCGGGAACAGCCTCGTCTGCTCTCCAACCGGATACTTCGCTCTTCCAGCCGGAGGAGCGGTTCAAGTCGGGATGAAGGAAATCTTCCACTTCCATGTCTGCCTCAGGAATGACAGCGAGGTTGTTGCAAACAAGCTGACATTCCTCTGGGCGCAGCACACAACATGAAGGATCTGAAAAGCGGTGAACCCCGGCCCTCTCTCACTGCAGAACCCCCTTCCCTGGTATTTAAGGTTTAAAGTGCTGTGACGCTGTATGCAGGCTGGCGACTGCGCCGGTTGGGTCAACACAGTAGACAAACCGTCGATCAATCAGCAAGAGCTGGCCATACAGTGCATACGCATTGTCCGTCAGACTTTGCACCTCCCTAACCAATGTCGAGAATTTTCGCTTGAAAACCGTGGAAAACAAAATCCTGTAACTGTTGCGCCGGCACAGCAAAATGCGAAGATCGGCTCCAGCTTGCTCTGCTAACTCGGCTAGGACGCGGAGGTCTGGTCTATCGAGCATGTACATGGGGTCTCGGCCGTTGGGGTACGACATCATGCCGCTCTCCAAGTAATACATCACGTTCAGACCGTAAAGAGCCGAAGAACCTGCATTCACCAGTGCCGACATAGCACGTGTAACATTCTGCTCATACTGCCCGTACGAATCCAGCGCCCATGAATGGGCAGAAAATAAGCCGCCATGACCAATCCAGAACAACATTTTCTCCAGCTCTACATTCTTCTTACACGGGCCTCCTCCAAACTCGCAATGCATAAATGCTGTTGACCATGAATGATGACGGGTACCTTCCAAGCCCGCCACAAAGACAAACCGCACTTCCGGCGAGAACGTGGTTTTGTTGATGATGTCGGTATGGACACGTTGAAATGGCTGAGGTGGCATTGTCTCTTTGCACACCCAAGCTCTTGTTCCAAAGGCTACTCGGGCCAGGAAGGGTGCCAGGACGCACAGCACGCCAGTGACAAACAAACAAGTTGAGCAGGCCACCAAGAAGTTCATCCTAAAAATGTTGGCGCAGGTCGCCCAGGTATGGTTTAGAGTGTAGGGTTTAGGGTTTAGGGTGTAGGGCCCATGACCGGCTACAACATGAGATCCTTGAGGCGCACGGCCAAATCGGAGCGACAGGCACATTCAAATCGAACGTCCGGGCAGTTTGATGTCATGTGTCATGTGCGCTACGCGCCTACTTTTACTTGTGCTTTACTCTCTCTTCCTCTCTGCAAACGCCTACGCTCTTGACGAGGCCTGTTCCATGCTGGGTGAGTACAAGCATAAGCAACCCTAAACCCTAAACCCTAAACCCTAAACCCTAAACCCTAAACCCTAAACCCTAAACCCTAAACCCTAAACCCTGAACCCTAAACCCTAAACCCTAAACCCTGAACCCTAAACCCTAAACCCTAAACCCTTTGTGTGGTGCGATGACCGGAACTTCAAGCATGCAGCAAAGTTGTGTGGTAAATGGTCGGAACGAAACTGGACCTGACACTTACACCCCGAACCCTAACCTCTTCGTTTGCCAAGCCCAAGCTTTGGGACTTGGAGGGTTTAGGGTTTAGGGTTCAGGGTTTAGGGTTTAGGGTTTAGGGTTTAGGGTTTAGGGATCCGGATTTCTGCAAACAAGGGCCTCGGTGAAGAGCTTGTACACAGACCTGATATGGTTCTCGTTGATGTTGTATGACAGCACCGTCCTGCAGAATGCAGGCTTGTTTGGGCATTTCGACCGCTGACGGAGGCATGAAACTGTGGGATTTCGGGTAAAGGGGTTCAGGGTTTAGGGTTTAAGGTGATTTTGCACTCGCTTTAGTATCTAGGGGCCCACACCCCGCCCCAAACAATTTCGGGGTTTTGCTCACCTCTATGAATGGTAACAGGGGCTGGAGGTATGGGGCGAGTAGGTGCTTTTTTGGCTCCCAGCCTCCCCCCCCCCCCCCCCCCCCGCGTCATCTCCGAGACACGAACTTCGAATAATTGCGGGTAACCCCCGTCAATAATACCCTGAATAGTTTTTAGGGAACTTCGCTGAGGGTTGTTGCTGAAGCCAGTGTATCATTAGTCAACAGGGTGAAGATTGAATAATCCTCAGTGTATCTCAGTATTCCGATACCCAGGTGTGATCATACACAGGCGACATGAAAAGCTGTGGGGTTGATGAGTTAAATAGTTGCTAGGATGGCCCTTTAAACCCTCTGAAAAATGTTCCTGAAATATGATCCTCTTCAACCCAATAATGGGAATTACAAAATGTCCCAAGGGCATACCGCATTTGTGTGTATGGAGGAATCTGACCCTAAAGCAAGCTCTTAATTAGCCAAAAAGGGCGCGCCTGGGGCAACCGGCCCCTAAACCCGGCCCTAAGCCTTAAACCGCAAGTTGGAAGCTCTTGACCTGAAGAAAAGCTTGAAAGCCTGAACCCGGAGCGGAGTCGAAACTAAACCCTAAACCCTAAACCCTAAACCCTAAACCCTAAACCCTCAACCCTCAACCCTAAACCCTAAACTCTCTCTTTCATATAATAATTTAAACCTTAATGGGGAACGTGGCCATTGGCAAAAAAACCATGGCCATTGGCAAAAAAGCCGTGGCCATTGGCAAAAAAGCCGTGGCCATTGGCAAAAAAGCCGTGGCCATTGGCAAATTCGCCAATGGCCACGGGAAAGTTGCCAATGGCCACGGTTTTTTTGCCAATGGCCACCAATGTCATTAAGGTTGGTCGCCAAAATGGGTTTTTCAAACCCAATTCGCACAAAATGCCCCCCAACCTTAATGGGGAACGTGGCCATTGGCAAAAAAGCCGTGGCCATTGGCAAGTGGCATTTGCCAATGGCCACGGCTTTTTTGCCAATGGCCACGGCTTTTCTGCCAATGGCCACGGCTTTTTTTGCCAATGGCCACGGCTTTTTTGCCAATGGCCACGGCTTTTTCCCCCCACCCCACGCCCCCCCACCCCCCCCCCCCCCCCCCCACCCCCCCCCCCACCCCCCCCCCCCCCTCCCACCCCCCCCACCCCCCGCCCCCCCCAACTCCCTTCCCAACCCCTCCCCCCCCCCTCTACACCCCCCCCCATGCCCCCCCTTCCCTCTTCTGGCCCAGACCCCCATTCTGGGCTTGAAAACCTGGGGCCAGATCAAGATGAAGGCTTTGCGGGGCCGGGCAACGCGGCAGCCCCTTGTTTCTCATCTTGGGTGGTCCGAGGGTGGGGTGGGGAAAATGCAACTTCCGGAGCCCCATTCTGGGGTTGGAGCACGAAGGGAGGGGACATACGACAAACCTCTAAAATAAACCCGTACATTTCTCAATGTTTTGGGATTCTCTGCAAGCAGAAGAAAAGGGACATACGACAAAGCCGACGAGCACGAAGGGAGGGGACATACGACAAACCTCTGAAAATAAAACTTCAGTTTCTTAATTCTTGGGGTTCTCTGCAAGCAGACAAAGAGGGACATACGACAAAGCCGACGAGCACGAAGGTGGCGACATACGACAAAATCTAAGAGCACGAAGGGAGGGGACGTACGACAAACCTGCAGACCTCTCATCAAACCCTACGAGCATGAAGGGAGGGACATGCGATAAACTCTACGAGCACGAAGAGAAAGGACATACGACAAAGCTCTAGGCCTCTCATCAAACCCTACGAGCAGGAGCCAACATGAGGCGAGGTCACCGGGGCACTAATTGGAAAGCAACCATGTGGAAGCCAGGCAGCTTAAAGTGTGCCAAACACAACCAACAAGACGGCCAAAAATAGGCAGGGTCACCGGGGAAAACGAACACGAGCAAAGTGAATATGAGCAGAAAGAGAACGAATACGAGCAAACTGACGTCGAGCAGAGAGAGAACGAATACGAGCAGAATGAATACGAGCAGAAAGAGAATGAGTACGAGCAGACTCAGTATGAGCAGAAAGACAGCGAAAACGAGCGGACTGAAATCGAGCAGAGAGAGAACGAATACGTGCAGAAAAAGCACGAATACGAGCAGAAAGAGAACGAACACGAGCAAAATGAATATGAGCAGAAAGAGAACGAATACGAGCAGAATGATTACGAGCAGAGAGAGAACGAAGACGAGCAGACTGAAATCGAGCAGAGAGAGAGAACGAATACGAACAGAATGAATACGAGAAGAAAAACAACGAAAACGAGCGGACTGAAATCGAGCAGAGAGAGAACGAATACGAGCAGAATGAATACGAGCAGAACGAGAACGAACACGAGACGAGCAGATCAGAAAAAGAACGAATACGAGCAGAATGAATACGAGCAGAAAGAAACGCATACGAGCAGAATGGAAACCAAGCAGAATGACAAAGAACACGAGAACGAACACGAGACGAGCAGATCAGAAAAAGAACGAATACGAGCAGAATGAATACGAGCAGAAAGAAACGCATACGAGCAGAATGGAAACCAAGCAGAATGACAAAGAACACGAGCAGAATGAATAAATGAGGTTGGAGGACAGGGCTTGCTGAGGAAAATGTGAACTTTATATTTCTTAATGTTTTGGGATTCTCTGGGTGGGTGGGTTTTTTTCTAGAGTCCAGACAGCGGCTCTACTAGAGATTGCTCGACCCAGAGCTGCTGAACCCTAAACCCTAAACCCTAAACCCTAAACCCTAAACCCTAAACCCTAAACCTCAATGTGAAGCCATGTCCTCAAGTCTTTGTCGTTGACTGGAGGCAGCTTGCTTGAAGATATGCCACCCATGGCTGTGAGCTTCACAGCCGCGCCACATTCGTGGCGTGGTGCGGTGGCGCTACAGTCGGTTCGGGGTTTAGGGTTTAGGGTTTAGGGTTTAGGGTTTAGGGTTTAGGGTTTAGGGTTCAGGGTTTAGGGTTTAGAGGTTTAGAAACTGTGTTGAAGGTGGTGAAGGGGTTTGGAGGCTCAGGGTTCCGGGTCAAGGTTGGGCCGCCGAGTTGAAGCGCTTCGAGCGGCAGCCCACCGAATCTGCGAGATGGGTTTAGGGTTTATGGTTTAGGGTTTGAGGTTTAGGGTTTAGGGTTTAGGGTTTCGTCATCGAAGCTCGAGCATCGATCCGGGCATTCGATCTCAATAAGCCTCCGCTTGCTAAACAGCTTGTGGATACAGCAGTGAGCCTAGAACTTGAAGCATCAATCTAATAAGGCTGTGACTGGTCTGTAATCTCAACCAGGCGCATTGGCCAGGAACAGGCTCGTCAAGTCATATTTGCTACATGCACCGTCATGATCATGGCTTTGACCAGTGCCACCACCCACCGCCACCGCCGCCGCCGCCACCACCGCCACCACCACCACCAGCATCATGATCATCATCACCATCGTCCGTTTTGTTCCGTGGCCGCACCGTGTCTGGAATGGTCGCCTACTCTACGAGAGCAGAGTATCCTGGTAGCCCAGCAACCATATCCCGTTTTTTGGGTTGGTTCCTTTACAAGGGAACCTTGAACCAAAGCAAGGGCCAAAGGGTACCACTGGGCTACCAAGGGTGCGGCAGCGCTGTGTATCCAAACGACTGGGCTGTCTGGGCGGGCAGCAGCCTGGAGTAGGCACCCTTTTCACTTCAAAGGGGCTTATATAAGGGAACTCTAAGCCCTTATATAAAAAAGGGGACAAAGGGGATCCTAACTTCTGACCTCTTAGGCCCAAAGCCTGATGACAGCTAGGCCAAGTCGATTTCCACAGCTTGTGGTGGGGCGGACGTGAACCGCTGCCTCGTCTGCTAAATCTTCGAGCCGTCGGTGCATCATGTGTGCCCCCCTTCCGAGCTCGTTCTTCTGGGTGAAACTAGGAGAAAGCACAGCTCAAGCCGGTGGAGTCCGTCTTCCTGTGCTCCTCATGTGCCGCAGCAGCTCAATGCTTGCAACCTCTGCCTTCACTTCATCCATCAATGCTAGCCTTACCTACATCTCCGGTGTTGGGCTTCTTGAAGCCACCACCCCCCTCCCCCCCTCCCCCCTCTCTGTGCCGACGTGAGCAAGCTGGTGACGTCCCTGTTTGGGGTATCTATGCGTTCGAGTCGAGACCTCGCAAATCGGAAATGATGATGCCCTGGAACCCGCAACTCAAGCGACAGTGGAGCATGGCTCGGGCCCGGGCTTGTCACGATTACTGCTTGAGAGCACACCTGAATCCGCAGTCTAGGTTTCTGGGAGAATCTGCAAGCATCAGTCAGAGACTGTGAGTGCATCTGCTAAAACAGACCATAAGCCCTCAATCCCGATACGAAACGCCCACGATGAAATCGAAGCTGAAAACCCGCAAAGCTAACCCAGAGGGCCGTTTCGGGTGTGGAGCAACTCCGGACGGCTGCATCCCATCATGAAAAGGCCCTAAGCCCTAAGCCCTAAGCCCTAAGCCCTAAGCCCTAAGCCCTAAGCCCTAAGCCCTAAGCCCTAAGCCCTAAACCCTAAACCCTAAACCCTAAACCGCGAACCTTAGCTACATTGACTTTGTGTTCCTCGCACAGGACCGTAACCCCTTTTTAAGGGCCGGAGTTCCGGTCGGTGACAAAACTCATAAATGAGGTCCCAGCGCCCTGAAGGCCCCGAGCCATGCTCAAAATATCCAAGGCAAGAAACACCAGCCCTCAAACCCTAAACACTAAACCTTGGACCCTGAACCCCACTCAAACCCTAAACCCTAAAACCTTGGACCCTAAACCCCAAACCCCAAACCCCAAATCCCAAACCCTAAATCCCAAATCCTAAGCCCTAAACCCTAAACCCTGAACCCTAAACCCTAACCCCTAAACCCTAAACCCTCAACCCAATGGGACTCCGGGCCAGGACTCCCCTCCCAAAGAGGTCTTGGCAGGCGGGTGCTTTGTCTCAAAAGACATGTAGGCGCGGCCTGGCGAGCTCTTTGCTGAGGGTTTAGGGTTTAGGGTTTAGGGCTGTTCCATTCTCTCGGGGTAGTTGCATGGTCCCTTCATATGGTCCCTTACCTCCTTTAAAGGGTTCTGAAGTATGGGCCCATGTAGCTACCCCAAGATATGTGGGCCGTACTAATTATAGGCCCTGTGCCTATGCCGGGGCTCTGGAGATCAGGGCTTGCTTTATGCTGTATGTTTTTTTCATTCTACATCGTTTCATACTTATGTTGGCGTTCGTGTGTACACCCTTGCATGGTGCTGAACTGACCAATTTGCGCTGCAGGGAATTCAGTTTGTAGGGTGCAGCCGAACAGTTTGAAGCCCACGCATAAAATCCATACTGCCTTAAACATCCTGGTGCGAAGCTGTGGGAAGGTTCAGGCAGGCTTGCAAAGGCTACATTTCGAAAAAATAGATGTATTGTATTCAGTATCCTGTATCAAAAATGCAAACCAATAATTCCTTCATGGGAACCCTAAACCCAAATAGGGACCCTATTTTTGGGTCTAGCCCTAACCCTAAACCCTAAACCCTAAACCCTAAACCCTAAACCCTAAACCCTAAACCCTAAACCCTAAACCCTAAACCCTAAACCCTAAACAGTAAACCCTAAACCCTAAACCCTAAACCCTAAACCCTAAACCCTAAACCCTAAACCCTAAACCCTAAACCCTAAACCCTAAACCCTAAACCCTACTCCTAAAACCGAAGTTCAGCCTTTCGATCCTAGTGCTTGTAAGGGTTGAATGTTATGTTAACTTGCATGACACCTTTTTCTATATATCACACGTGGCTAATACTAATCTTCTGTCAGGTGTGTGTGTGTGTGTGTCTGTGTGTGTGTTTGTGCTTATAAGGTGCTGGAGGGTCTAGTTTGGGGTCATAGGCCCGCATGAGTTGCTCGGGCCTGTCTTGACGCCCTCTTTCAGCACGTCGAAACCAATGTTTGGTGTCGCCTGGCATCAACCATGGCAGAAATCAAGGTTGTCAACCATAGGGGGAATGAACCTCAGGTCTGAACTGCAACTTACCACTCCCATCTCAACCCTAATTACAGGCTAGAACTACTTCGCACGCGCGGCTTCTGAGACCACTCCCAAAACGTCTACCCTTGCTCTCCGGGCCCCTCTGCGCGACACCAACTCACGGCAGATCCACGTAGATCATTCCCTCCACGTCTCGGTCCTCCTCCGGCATCAGTTTCTGGATGTCGGGGTTTAGGAAACCTAGACCCTAAACCCCTACAAACCCTAAACCCTAAACTACAAACCCTAAACCCTAAACTACAAACCCCAAACCCTAAACTACAAACCCTAAACCCTAAACTACAAACCCCAAACCCTAAACTACAAACCCTAAACCCTAAACTACAAACTACGAAATCCTGAGCCCTGAGCCCGAACAGGGGCTGAGTGCACGGGAAACCCTAAACCCTAAACCCTAAACCCTAAACCCTAAACCCTAAACCCTAAACCCTAAACCCTAAACCCTAAACCCACAGCTTCGGCCAACTCAGGGCCTCCGAACTCTTGCGCTGCAGGAACTTCTGCAAGGCTTAGCTATGTTATCTTTCCGGCTTAGGGTTTAGGGTTTAGGGTTTAGGGTTTAGGGTTTAGGGCTCAGCGTTCATGGGGCCTTGGGCTTAGGTGGGGTTTAGAGACTTTTAAAGAAAGAACCGATGCCCGACACCGGGGAACCCTGAAGTGGGACTGGCGTGCTTCAGATCTTCAAGGCAAAGCTGCGAGGCAAGAAGGTTTCGGGTTGGGGTTTCGGGTTTAGGGTTTAGGGTTTAGGGTTTAAGGTTTAGGGTTTAGGGTTTCGGGTTTAGGGTTTCGGGTTTAGGGTTCGGGTTTAGGGTTTCGGGTTTAGGTTTTCGGACTTGTCGGGCTTCGGGTATCGGGTATGTCGGGTTTGGGGTGCCCTCTTCCCTAGCTGAAGTGTCCGACTCCTTGTGTTGCTACAATATATACTACCTAGGCGGAGGCCACAAACCCGAATTGCTGTTTCCGGCTTGGTCTCGCGCCATCTGCAACTGTGGCAGCACCTGCATCCAGAACCCAAGGATTCTTGCCATATTACTGTTGCTACCATTGTTGCCGCTAAGTTTGCTATTATGATTCGCACTTTTCGTTGTTATTGATGCTAAGAACCTGATTTTTGCTGATTCATACTACAATTGCTAATATATACATATACATCTATACACACATAAGTATATATGTATATATGTTTCTACATACATACATACATACATACATACATACATACATACATGCATACATACATAAATACATACATATATATATATACACACACGACAACGGCAGCTTCTGCAACTCGGAGAGGAGATCGAAACCATGGAGCGTAAGCCTAAGCTTATCATTATGGGACTCTTCTCTTAGGGTTTATGGTTTAGGGTTTAGGGTCTTCATCGGCATACTTTTGAGTACAGAAAACGGATACTTGCCACGTTCTAGGAGGACAAACGCCGAGGTCGAGATCGAGGCCATATTCTATAAACCCAAACCGCGCCTAAACCTCAAAGCCCTGCAGCTTAGGCTTAGGCCCTTTGAGGGGTCAAGGAGTGACTAAGAGTTTGGGTGCTTGGAGTCTGGGATGTGGAGTGGGTGATGAAGGAGTTGGGAAAGTGGAGTGGGTGATGAAGGAGTTGGAGTTCTTTTGCTGGTACCTTGACCACTTGGCGCTCTCTGACGCCGGCTTTCGGCTTGACAGCGGCTACCAAGCTAGCCTGAAATCATTCGAATTCCGTCCGAGCAACCTGCCCCATGGACACTAGAACCTGAATACTTAACCCGGACACCCCAGACCTCCAAACGTGTATATCCTAAACCCTA